ATTAATAGTAGATTCTGCCTTAGTTTCTTTGGACAGCAACTGTGTACTTTTAGGACATTTCACACTTGCTTGATTGAACTGACTTTGGTTTCTCATCCCTGAGATACATTCTTTTAAAAATTTTTTTTTTTATTTTTTACTTTTTGAGAGAGGGTCTCACTCTGGAGAACAGTGGTGCCATCATGACTCACTGCAGCCTTGATTTCCTGGGCTCAGGCAATCCTCTCACCTCAATGTCCTGAGTAGCTGGGACCACAGGTGCATGCCGCCATGCCCAGCTGATTTTTGTATTTTTTGTAGAGACAGTGTTTCACCATGTTGCCCAGGCTGGAACTCTCAGGCTTAAGAGATCCGGCTGCCTTGACCTCCCAAAGTTCTGGGATTATAGGTATGAGCCACTGTGTCCAGCCTCACTCATTTTTTTGCAGGGGCTCAATAGTAGAACTAACCAGATGAAGCAGAACCAGGCATTTACACACTTGAACAGTGGTATAGCTGTAAAGTCCTAGTGTAAAAGTCACACTATATATCTTCTGTAATAATACAAATTTACATAAATGAAGCATCTAATGATATGAATAACAAAGACAGGAAAAATTTGGATCAGAGAGGGCAGAACCTTCAAATTCCTATTGTAGCCTCTTAATTTAAGGTTACCAGCTCCTCCCTGGTGTCAAGGGTATGGTATTATGGGGATTATCTTCCAGACTTTGATTGTTCAATAGATACTGACTTTTCCTGGATGTATTCTAATCAGCTTGACTGTACACATCTTGGGCTACTGGACATTTCAGATTCTCAGCTTCATTTTTTACTACCCACTCCCAAGTACCTAAATGTGAGCAGCAAGAAAGACTGATGTATACTTTACTCCCTTAAGACCTAATTGATAAGTATATTTTCTTACATTTTAGGCTGGGAAAAAAAATCCCACACAAACGTTTATGGCATTATTCTGGGTACAGATTGAAGAAAATTTTCCTGCGTGCACCAAAGTTTAGAAATGTAATAGATATGAATATTTGACATCTTCCTGCATTTGTCAATTGTCCAGAATTCTTTGGGCAATTAGTCAAGACTGATATAAGCAAAGAAAGATGTCCTATATAGAAAGAGGAGGCAAGTCAAATAAGTAATATACTAACTCTAGGTTTTGAGGTCAAGTGTAGTATCCTGTCTTTCCTTCACAAATATGAGACAGACATGATTAAATGCCTCATCTCTAAGTGGGCAAGGTCACAGATTATTGCAAAATATGCCAAACTCAAAGTCTGTACAGATTTTCTCTAACGATTTCGACAAACCCTTCAAGTGGTCGAACTTCATTTCACCAGCAATCTGTCAAATAAAGGAGAATCAACAGATTCTTTTTAATAGACATTGATATATGGTAAAATCTGTTAGTTCTAAATACCTTTGTCCTTGGAATTTATCTTATTTTTGAAAACTAATGGGGAGAAATGAGATTGAAAATACATCTCCCTAATATTTTTAATTGAATATTAAGTCTCTAATACAAACTTAAAGTTTGGTATCATAGGACACTCATGTCATTCTTTACTATCATCAGTATTAAAAATTTCATTAAACCTTATGGAAGACTAAAAGATCCTTTTAGTTTTACATTTTATGCCATATGAGACACGATTAAAATGACAAGTTCCCAAATAACATGAATAATGTATTTCCCCTTTATCCAAAGCAAGTGCATTTTGCTCCTAAGAGTGTTTTATCCATTTTCTTTTTCAGGAAGAGGAAAGGAGGGCGATAAAAGGATTTATGGTTAGAACGGGTATTTAATGAAAGGCACATATTTGGCTTGTGATTGTAAAATAACTGCTGTAGTTATTCTGAGTTTAGACAGGAGTCATAGATTTTCACATTAATAAAAGCAAATTATGATTCTGTTAACATTCATATTTACCTCTTTGGGACAGAATTGTTTAAAGTTACTCTGTTTTAGTCATGGAAATAGTAGAGTCCGTATTAAGAAACCTTATTTCTGTGTATGTATATAAATGTTTACTTCAGGAAGCACCAGATCTACATTTATAGAATAAGTTTCAAAGAACAGCTTAAAATATCATAAAACTTAGAGAAACTTAAGGTGCCTTCTGCTACTTTATACTCTTTTTCCACTATATTCCACCCCATTCATCAGAGAAAGTGCTAATATGAATGGTCAAATCCCGTCACCATCTTTGGACCACTGGGAGTGGAGCTTTACGGGGAGATGTAGGCAAAAGCCATAGCTCTGTTAAGATTTTAGCCTCCTTGTGTTTGCTTACTCCCCAGCAGCTGGGGCAGATCAATGGCCCTGGAGCTGCATCTTACTTGGGAGGGGCCTCTGCATTGAGAAGGTCAGAAACTAGTACATTAGCCAAACTCTCCTTTAGGGCTTCTTTTCATTGGTGCGCTTTTCTCTAGAGGCATCTTTCCATGCTGCCGGGGTGTTAAAAATATCTTGAGGGAAATAGGATTGGGAGTGAGCATAGGAAAAGGAGACTAAGGCTGTAAATGTCCATCTAGCTCAAGCCTTGTCCAACCCACAGCCCACAGGCTGTAATACAGCCCAGGATGGCTTTGAATGTGACCCAACACAAATTCGTAAATGTTTTAAAAACATTTTGAGATTTTTTTTTGTGATTCTTTTTTATTTTTATTATTACTTGCTTTAGTTCATCAGCTATCATTAGTGTATTTTATGTGTGGCCCAAGACAATTATTCTTCTTCCAATGTGGTCCAGGGAAGCCAAAAGATTGGACTCTCCTGAATTCTGGCTCTTATAGCTCTGTATGGTCCAACTTAGTCCATCAGGAGAACACTTCAGGATTTTTCAGTTGAAGCTCTGGTAAATAATAAAGAGGATACACTTACTTGGCCTTTTCCTCTGTGCGTTTTTATCTCTCATGGACTTAGTGGGGGCAAAAGTGGACACAGTAGGTGATTGCTCAAGACTTCTGGATGTTGGGTTTCACTTCTGTTTGAGTTATTTCTTGGCCAAACATCTGAGAATACTCTCTTCTTTTTGCCAGAACAAGAGTTCATGGGTACTTTTAAGTAAGACAGTAAGGGATTAGAACTCCATGAGTCATTAGTCAGTCAGGAGGCAGTTTCCAAGAAGTTTTTTAATTCTCTCCTTAAAATACTATTAAGTAATAGTCTGCTGTTAACCACTTTGGTTTCTTAGCCCTCTGGCTGGTGCAATCTTTTTTCTTGAACTGTTCTAAATAACTAAGAAGATTCTGAACACTCCTAATAACCTCCGGCCCCTACCTTGAGATGAACAAAAAGGGGTCTATCAATGGTCAAGCTCCAGGAAAACATCTCATAAAGCTTACCAACAGTTAATGATTCCAGTGACTTTTATATCTAACATAAAGACAAGGAAAAGACAAAATTCATGATGAAGAATAATATGTGCCACAAACTAGGGATTATGATGAACCAATTCTGTGTATTTAACGTGTAACTTAAAAAACTACTTAATGACTTTAAGAAAAAGGAAGGCCTTCAAACGTGTTGTCATTAGAATGTGGCACTAGAGAACCCATGAAAAGAAAACGTTGATAATAGCATATTTGCTTAGTATCCCATAGAGTTATGAGGACACTGGGAAGTCTCCTTCTTCCCAGCAGTAGAATACTCAGTACCGGTGAATGTAGAGCAGCCAAGAAAGAATTGATGGGTAACTGATATTCTTGAACTTCAAACGGAATATTTCTTTAATGCTGACAAGGAGAAAACAGATAACACAGTCCAGAACTGACTGTAGTAGTTTTTCTAAATGCAACTAGCATGAAGAATGATGTTCTATAGGATAAAATAGAAGACATCTTGGCACTGGGTGATGCCATCTAATTGCAGAGTTCAAATTGCTTTAGAATCTTTGAAGCACCAAAACAAGGATGTAAAACATATTCATAATATGTGTCTTCATAAGTCCTGTACTTTCAAAATGAATCTAAGCCTCTGGAATAAGAGTAAAAATAACCACCTGAAATTTTTATAAAAATAAAGAATAATCATGAAGAGGGTTACTCACAAATGGGATTCATCTTGCTCTTTATTCAAGTGGAAAATTCTTCCTTTCACTGACACGTTTGCCAAACCATTCCATTTAATGTAGGAAACACCACTTTGTTTCTTCTGAATTGCTAAAACTATTGTACTCTAAAATCCTGTAGCTGAGGTTTAGCTGTACTCAATTTGCTTGTATAAAATATACAATACATCATTTTAAATCAACGTTTAAATGTATTAATGCTTTTAACCCTTCTAAGTACAATTGCTTCCACAAGGAATTTTTCCGTGAATTATCTAGTTCAGATTGTTTGAATAGCATTTTGAATTTCCTTTCCTCTTTAATTTCAGAACTTACATGTTTTTGTGTCATTCACAAATCAAAGCTTCAAAATATTGAAGTTTTGGGGTAAAGACATTTAAAGATATTTCTTCAAAATGTTTTGTTGGAAAAACATAGATATCACTCATTGTATTACAATACAATTCACACTTTCCTAATGAAACAAAATTACAAATTTCACAAGAGCTGTCCAATGGAAGCAAATTCAGGTTCAAAGAGATGAGAAGAAAAGAGTGATTTTGCATTCAGCATATATGATCTGTTGCGGCAACTGTGAATTCCTTATTTCTGCCAGCTATAGCTCAGTAAAGAAATGGATGCTATTGTAAAAGTCATCCCCTGAAAACAGAGATGAGAGTAAGTAAATGAGTAGAGTTGATACAAATTCAAGTCATTTTGCAAAGGATTTTACATTGATGGATTACAAGATGAATTCTCACAAGTTGGCAAGGTTTTCTAAAGTCTAGCTTTTATGAATATTGTTTGAACAAGTGGTGTAGAATTCATTCTATGCTCTGTGAAATAACATGATTTATTATTATTATTATTTTTACCAAGTTGGAATTGTTTAGAATCACCAAATAACAGGATTCAAAAGTAAAACAGCTGAAAAATCCAACAGTCTGGTCTAACCTGGGATGCTCTGTCTCCTCACAGCCAACGCTCCATCAGGCGGCTTTGTCTGGCTGGCGGATTTAGTGTAGGGACTCTCATCTGCAAAGGTACAATGAAGCGTTTGGTTAATTTCCATCCAGTTTCTAATGCAGTGAAGATTTTTAACGGATTGCAATCCTTCTGCGAGAGAGAAGTGGTACAGTACAGTGGAAAGTGTTGGTAGGCCTGGGTCCTATACTTGGGTTAGCTGTGCGATCAATCTTTGAAAATGTTGTGAATATGTTTCTTCCCTTATAAAAGAGAGAGAAAATTCTCATCTACTTCTTAGGGTTGTCAGGTTCAAAAGCTATAGTGCTCATGAAGATGTTTATGAAATGGTAAGAAGTATGCAAATAGAGTATACAAATTATTTGTCACCTACATTCATTGATAAGTAAGTACCAGTGAATAGGTGTAACAAAGACAAAGAAGAAATAAAATGGCTCAATGGGCACTAAGAATAATCAGGTAGAAGAACAAAGAAAGTAAAAAGAAAGGCAATATTTCAGATAAGCAGATGACAGAGTTAGTATTGCAAGGGAAATAAAGCCACTCAGAGTTAGTAGGTTCCTCCTGAGAGTGTGAACTGGCAGCCAGTGCAAAGCAGAGGGATAGAGATGTTCAGAGGGAAGACCAGAGGAGCTAGGTTGAGAATAGGGAAGGAATGATGGTTTGGCAAAAGAAGACATATATTGCAATGAGCTTGTTTGTGCTCTTTTAGAAAGAGATGAAAATAACTTGCAGAATTATTAAAAGAGCAACTGAGAAGACAGAAGGTCTAAAGCTTAATGGATCTGTGAGAGTTAGGCAAGAAGGTGAATGATTAAAACAGTAGGTGACAAGATCATGGAGACAATGGGTCCATCCAGTTCTAAGTAAGGTGATTTTTTTTTTTTAACTTTGAAAATGATTTTACCTGACTAGGAATAAAGGAGCAGTGATCTAGGATGGCAAATACTAAGGCTAAAATAAAGGACAATTCTTCCTAATTGGGATGGGAGCATTTATAAAAAGTAAAAGAAATGTGAATAACAACCTTAAAAATTTCAAGAATAAGATGTACATGGCTTGAGTAAATAGAATGTAAAATAATTATCTAGCATATTCAGTCCAGCTAGATAACCTAAATGTCACTGCTGGCCACACTGTAAGATGTATTATTGTTGTTGTAACCATTTTATAATAGCAGGAAATCATTAAAGAACTTAAAGAAGCCATATTGTACATGACAAACTATTACACATAACAAGGATTTATTCAGAACAAGGCTCTATCATCTGAGAACATTAATTCTCCCAACTGAATGGCTTGTGTTTCAAAATTGAGGAACTCATTTCCTCTCTAGGATGAACTTCTGGTTTGAAATGATTCATGATTTCTTCATAAAACTAACAAGGTCTTTATACGCAATGACAAAAGGAAAAGATTAACACTGCTGTAAGTGGCAATTAACTTAAAAAATAGAAGTCATGCTGTTTCACGTTTATATTTAATTTGTCACACAATTTTTTATATTCTTCCAACCATAAAGATAAACTACCAACTTTCAGATAACAATTCAATCAACACCATTTTTGCTTTAGAAGTGGTATCTTAGGTCTTCGACTGTTCTCTTTGCAAACACCATTTTGAGTATAATTAAAACCCACAAAACAAAATACAAAATGTAAACATCACACTACAAAAGTCTCCCTTTGCCCCACCATTGTCACTTGAATATTTGAGTGTTTTTCTCACAGTGTTAATAAGAAGGCAATATGCTTCATTTAGTACCTTTTAAAACAAATGTACTATGTATTAAAGCCGGGGATTCTTTATAAGACTGCTTTAAAAATGTATTTCCTTTCATTGTCCAAAACCTTGAAACGGTGTATTTATGAGCATAGAGCACTAAGCCAGGAAATAATCACAACAACCAGGCTTAGGTACGGCATCTTGGAAGCCTAAAAGCTTTCCTCAGTGTTCTATTTGTCAAGATTCCAGCCAATTAAAGTCTTGAGTTGAATCCAGTGTTGGCTTTTTATAAAGGGCAATAAGAGATTTACCCAGGAGACTCTGGGGTTATCTGCACTTGATGCTCTATTTTAAGGAGCTATTTCTTTAGAAATGTACCCAGTTTGCATTTCAGAAGTAGTCAACCCTGGTAAAATGGTTTTCTCATTTATATTTGAAAACAACTTCCTTGATTTAGAACTGAGATAGTCTAGTTGAGCACATCCTTAAAAGGTTGAAACTGAATTATAGATGACCACCTGGCCAGCCTCTCCATCACCACCCCCAACTGCTCCCAATATCAAGAGTGACCTTACTGAGCACAGGCGAAAGTAAATAATTATCTAGAAGCGAAATCTTGTATTGGTTAAAGGACCAGAATGAAAAAGTTCAGTGCTATCTAATGTTGTCTAAGCGGCATTGTTGCTTTCACCCTGATTGCCAAAGCCAATCACGCCAAAGCCTATCAGTGTGAAAGCAATAATTCCTAATGGAAGGGAGGCAGAGGCTTGGCAACATTGATCATCAGAGCTAAGGAGGGCATAGCAGCAGAGCAGCATGGCACAATATAACTTGGTTTTTAGAAGACTTTCCTGAAGAGTGTCTTTTTATTTTAAATACCTTAGAGGCACCATGGCCTTTTATAAAAAGCTGCCTATCACAGAATGAACACCAGCTCTCTTGACGTGATTTACTGAAAGTCAGCTCTAGATTTAAACTTGTTTGAAAATAGAAATGGATAAAACACACTGAATGAATCTGTGGCTGATGGCTCCACAGTAGGATATTAAAGGACCAGAGTGTCCAGAGTGCATTTCTAATCCTTGAGCATAAAGTCATGGAGAACTACGGAGGCTTCTATCTTCTCTTGTGTCCCTAAATGCAGCTTTATAGATATATCCCTAGAATTTCATGCTTATAAGGGATAATCTATTTTTTTTTTTTTTTTTTTTTTTTTTTTTTTTTTGAGACGGAGTCTCGCTGCGTCGCCCAGGCTGGAGTGCAGTGGCCGGATCTCAGCTCACTGCAAGCTCCGCCTCCCGGGTTCACGCCATTCTCCTGCCTCAGCCTCCCGAGTAGCTGGGACTACAGGCGCCCGCCACCTCGCCCGGCTAATTTTTTGTATTTTTTAGTAGAGACGGGGTTTCACTGGGTTAGCCAGGATGGTCTCGATCTCCTGACCTCATGATCCGCCCGTCTCGGCCTCCCAAAGTGCTGGGATTACAGGCTTGAGCCACCACGCCCGGTTATAAGGGATAATCTAGACCATTCTTTCATTGTAAATAGAACTGAGGCCCAGAAAGATAAATTTACAGGAGGACACACATCTAAATTGAGTCTAGATGGAATTTCTTATATTCTTAGTCCCATGTTCTTTCTTCATTTCCTTTTAGATAGACGATAAGATTTCATAGGCCATTGGGTCCACATGTTGCTGTGTCACAGGAATGAGTGATTGGGCACACTGTACCAGCAGAGACCTTGTATGGTGTAAGTTAATTGCTACAGTGAAGCCTTTGAAAATGAGCCTGAGCCACATAGCCAATTATTTTTGTGTATATATACATCCCATTCTTCCCTCCTCCACATATTTGTTGCCTAAAGCAAACAACAGTTACAAATGGTACTACCGAACTAATTTATGCTTTTCAGTTCATTTCTTTGAAGATAAAATTTAAAAGCAACGTCAATATAGCTCATTGTTCCCCAGGATGAGCCTTAAAAGAGTCACTGAATTATAAGATTTATGTTAATACTTTTCTTTGTTTCATTGAAGAGATACTAAATAGGCTTTCAAGTTAAATCCAGATATATCAATAAACAAAAAAAGGTCAAATGACAAGGAAAGAAATCAATCAGAATAGTACCTAGCACATCGCAGGCTTTCACTAAATGTTTGCTGATAGAATATGTGAATTAATTATATTCACTTTTTCAAACAAGAGCATTTGTTGTAAACAAAGAACATGAAGAAAGTCAAACATTTGTTATAAGCTATATTCCCTCCTACTTCTGCTTTTCTTTTTCTAGGTTGATAGCCTATTCCTTTTAAAGTCACATTATCATCCAACAGCTATTAAATATTGACGTAATGTGAAAAATCTGACCCTTTATAAAAAGGTTATCAACATATATTTCCTTTCATTTTCATTCAGACTGTAGAATGATTGATCAACCTTTAAAATAATGTCTTTAAACAAAAGAATTATGATTTTCATAGCAGACTCTCAGCCCAGACTTGGATGATCATATTAACCAGGGATTCTCACTAAAAGTCACTACAGGGGAAAGCAGACATTCAGTTAGTGAGCTACTTGCTCACTGAAATGAATGTTTCAAGCAATCATTAAGGGCATCTCAGGGTATCAACACTGCCAGCCTTTCCTAACAACATCTTAGCAGCTAGGTAATCACCATCACACATGATGGCCCTTCACAGGGGCTTACCTGTTGGTCACAATAAAGAACGTGGGTCCCTTTAGAGTGACATCTCATGAGGCTAGGGAAAAATGCACTCCATTAACAGGGAGAATTGACATGGTGACAAAGGCACCGAAAGCGTTAGTCAAGCATATACTTAAAGCAGAAGAAGAACAAAAAGGGGGACCATCTGTCCCTCTCATTCCCCCCAGTTTGGCCAGTTTCCTCATGTGCCAAACACAGGAGGGGCAAACACAGATCATTTGTTTTGATCACATGAAGCTGGTGTTTATAAACTTGGAAAGCCACCAGCGGGCACCTAAGAAGCAATGCTTCACTATGCATCACAAACCGCCTGTGCTGGAGCTGGGAGAGTCACATCATGAGGAAGGGACTCAGGTCCCCTCATGCTCTCAAATCCTCCAACGTTTGCTTGGTATCAAACAGCATCCTTGTGTCACCAGGCTGGTTCCTGTTTCTCCATTTCCTGAGACTCTCATTTCTCACTCTGGGCTATGCAGAGGAACCCGATATGAATATGGTTTCAGGAATCTCTAGCTGTGTTCAAAGCTTTGCTGAAGAAAGGAAATTTAATTTCCTTTGGCTGAGACTAATCAGCGTATGCTAAACAATTCTTAGCAACTAAT